TGCCCACGCCACCCCTTCCCACCCACTCAAACCTCTCACCCTTGCCCAGCCCGGAAGTAGCCTCGGGGGCAGCCGCACAGAAAGCCGCCCGCAGTGTTGGCACAGCCGTAGCTGCAGGGGCTGCCCTGCCCGGCGCACTCGTCCACATCCTGGCAGCCCCCGAGGGCCTGGTCAAAGTCAAAGCCAGAGGGGCAGACACAGTGGAAGCCACCAAGGGTGTTGTGGCAGGAGGCACTGCCGCAGGCCGTGGGTGACACAGCACACTCGTTCTTATCTGCGGACGGGGCGGAGGAGAGAAATGGTGGTGGAAGATTCTGCACCCCCCAGAGCCCTCCCTCTGGAATGCTCGCCCTTCAGAGCCCAAGTTCAAGGTCACAGCCTGCAGGCCCCACTAGGAACCCCGACCGCGTCTGTCTTCTTCCATGGCTCGCTTACTACACTCCTTACCCACTCTCCAAGCCCCTGGCCCCAAGCCTGCAATCTCCTTCAGGGTATTTCTCATCGTACCTTCCAAATCCTAAACTGCGGGCTGCTCTGGCGCAAACTGTGCTGCCTTCAGCCCGATGGCAGGGGCTGGGCCACTCTCCGTGGTGGAGCTGACCCTGTGCTGCGAGGTGTGTGGCGGCATCCCTGGCTTCTCCCCACCACGTGACTTCCAGCTGCGGAGTTCTGGCTACTAAAAACGCCTCCCAGCGACTTTGGTTGTTGTTGTTGCAGTGCTGGGGGTGGGACCCAGGCCCTTGGGCACGCTTGGCAAATGCTCACCATTGAGCTACACCTCCAGTCCTTTTTATTTAAGTTTTATATTCTGAGACAGGGGCCCACTAAGTTGCCCAGACCGGCCTTGAATGTGCAAACCTCCTGCCTCAGCCTCCTGAGAAGCTGGGTGTATAGGCATGCACTACCATGCCAGGCTTCAAAATGTCCCTTGGGAGGCAAAATGGTCCTCGATGGAGAACCCAGTGAGTGGTCTAATGAGGGGTCTCCTCTGCTGGGATGGGGTCCATTTGGGGCTCATTTCTGCACCCTAAAGGGTCTGGTACAAGGCAAATCCTTGGAAGAAAGTTGGAGAAGGAAGAGATGTAAGCAAGAAGAGGAAATCAAAGAATCATCAGCAAAGGCCAGGGATTTGTGCCACATCCCTCAGAGCACTGGGGACAAAGGCCTGAGGGTAGGGTGGCAGGCGAAGACAAAAAGCAAAACAAAACTTAGTTGAAGAATCACCACAAATGACGGGAGGAAGACAGAGAAGATAGTTGCAACAGGTATGGTAAAGATGTGATATACATTCACGCCTTTGCTGTCCATTGCTGCACCCACAGTAGACATCACGAATCAACCTCAGCATTCATTCTCCTGCTCATCACTAATCAATCACGGCACTCTTTCCACTCCACTCATGGCAAACACCACAAATCAACCACTGCATTTTTTCCTCTATACCCATGTCACACATCACCAATCACTGCACTCTTTCCACTCCATCTACAGTAGGCATAACTAATCAACCCCAGCATTCACTCATTCCCCTGCTAATCACTAATCAATCGCTGTATGCTTTCCACATCATTAATGGCAGACATCACTAATCAGTCACTACATTTTCTCCAATCACCTGCAGCAGACATTGCCAATCAACCACAGTATTCTTGACTCTGTTCCTATTGCAGACATCACTAATCAGTCACTGCACTTTTTTCACTCCATCTATTGCAGACATCACTAATTAATCACTGCCCTCTTTCCCAGTAATCACAGGCATGGTTTCTGAATCTTCCTCAACTACTGGCAACCACTCTCCAAGAAATACACTGGAACACTATGTCATGTTTGCTTAGCTGGGCCAGAGATATAGCTCAGCCCAGCCTAGCAAGACTCTGTCTCAAAATAAACAAAGTCCTGAGTTCGATTCCTGGTACCAAAAAAAAAAAAAAAGTTTGCTTAGCTGTCGCCTTGCTGCCCAGTGGGAGACATCCCAGTCTGGCTTATCTGAGTTTTAAATAGTTTTGCTGGTCACAACATCTGTTTTGTTTTTTTTTGTTTTTGGTTTTTTTCCGGTACCGGGAACCGAACTCACGACCTTGTGCTTGCCAGGCAGGCACTTTGCTGCTGAGCTAAATCCCCAGCCCCAGGTCACAACATCTGGTAGTGAAGTGGTTCCTTGTTGCTTGCTCTTCCCAGGTTTTCCTCTCCACCCTTGCCACTCACCTACACACTGTGCCCACTGGGAGTGCTGGGTGAAGCCCCGGGGGCAGCTGCAGCGGTAGCCCCCCACCTCATTCTGACAGCCATGGCGGCAGCGATGGGGTCCGTCACACTCATCTATGTCTGAGACATGAAAAGCCAGGGAGATGGGGCTCTCAGGTTCCCCCCCAGCCCTGCACCCCACCCACGCCGGCTCTACCTTTGCAGCCATGGCCTGAGCTGTCCAGAGTGAAGCCTTGGTAGCAATCACAGCGGAAGCTGCCTGGGGCATTGAGGCAGCGGCCATGGGCACCACATGGGCTGGGCTGTGCCAAGCACTCATTGTTGTCTGCAGAGGACAGAGAATGGGCAGGGTTTCCTGGTGGTTAGGGAATGCTATGCGGTGCCGCCTGACTTGCTACGTGGCTTCGGGCAAGTCACTGCCCCTCTCTGTGCTTGTTTTCCCTCCTTTGTGAAACAAGAGCTGTAACAGTTCCTTTCTCTGCCAGGATTTGTAATGGTACCCATAAAGGGCCTTGCTTAAATCTCATCTCCCTCACCCTTTACTTTTTTTTTTTTT